CCATTCTCAGGAGTTTTGCTTTTTCAAAATAAGAAATCATCAATTCGTAGTCTCATTTTTTTTTTTTAAATGTATAACAGAAGCAAAGAATAAATAGTACATTTCATCCTACAGGACTCTAGAGTTAATGATGAACCTGTGTCTTTGCATGGTTTTATTGCCATATATTATTTAGTAAGATTTGTAGGATGCATAGCTGCACACCGGGCATTCAAACTTACAGATACATTTTACGGTGAAGTCTTTAATGTCAGCAGCTTTACAAGGGCAGAATGGTTTTACTGTGTGTGACTTTCTTGCATGTCAAGAGAATGTACAGTTTTAAACTGTACAGGAGTTTTTCTCACTTTTTTAATACGAGAAATCTTAGCGTATTTCCATTTAGTAATGAAAGTTCCTAGCTCAGGGGATGGCATATTTTTTTGCTGTTGTTGAAATTCCATCAGTTTACTGGTTAAATTCACAGTTTTTTAGCACAGATTCATTTGTAAATGAAACTTGAAGGTGAGGTGATGTGTTGACTGAGATATATTTTGGGATGTTTTGTCACAGCCCAGTGGAACTGTGCTCAACAGTGTTTTATCTCAAGTCCACAGTAAATCAAGATCTCTTGAAGTAATAAAAACATGTTAAACTGTTGCAAAGTATGACTTGTTTTATGATCATCTTCTGATGTATGAGGTTTGGGGGATGAAAACAGGAAATTACTGATTTAAATGGTCCTGTTTCTCTTTTATTGGGAAACAGCCCTGCTAATAATTTCAAATAGGTTGGGCTTAGCATCAAAAAGAAGGCTATAAAAGGTATTTCCATAATACAGTAACATATTTAGGCTTTTTTTTAATCATCCTACAGCATGTAACTCAAGTAATACTTCCCAATGTTCTCACTCAAGGACACCTGGCAGGTTTAGGTAAAAAGCATGAGTGAAGTTTAGGTTTTCTAAATGCAAAATTAAAAAAAAAAAAAAAATTGCACCCCTTATATACTGTGCTGTGGCACTGGCTTTTGACAATCATTGTACCTCAACATAAACTTCCCTTTATTCATGGCACATCAGCTGGATAGATGTAGTAATTTTGTTGATGGATGCTTTTTTTGTTCTCACCCAACATCCTCTGTCCTCAAGCAGGAACTAAAATGTCAGGCTCTGATTTTTGCAGTGATAGCTTTAACTGCATTGGAGCAAAAGGCCTCTTTGCTCTAACTCTTAATGTTGGTGTACCCTGGGCCAAAGGCAGTTGTACGGGATTCTCTGTTCTTCTTCAGAGGCTACTTATCTTAAATGTAAACCTTAAGCAGGGTTTTGTTGTTGGGTATTTTCTTGTTAGCTGCTTTTGAATGAGTACAACCTAGTTAAGAGCTTATCATAACAGGGCACCATTCTAAAGTGCTGTGGAAATAAATGCTGTGTAACTTGGTAGAAATCCAGTGTCTGAGTCCTTTTTAGTTTATTTTTTTTAATTACTTAGATTAGTCTTTAATGGTAGCTTTGCATCACCTTTTTCAGCATAACTGCTTGACAGCTGTTTAGTAATGAAGCAAAGGAATTTAGAGATGACTGCTGGGGATTCTTTCAGTATAATATTTCGGGGCTGAAGCAGCTGGAATCCCATAGCTTCAGAGCTGTATTCCATGAATGCTGCACTAGTAAGAACATTTTTAATTCCTGAAATTCTTTTTAATGATCAAAAAAGTAGGCAAATATTTCGGGGGTTTGGTTTTTTTTTTTTTTTTTTAAAGACAAGAAATGAAGAAAGGCTATTGCAGTCCACTTGGGGGGGGAAAAGTGATATCTGAGGCTGACTGAGAGAGGGCCACTGCCTTTGGCTAATTCTCAAAATTCTATTTGAATGCTGGACAGCTGTATATGGCAGAGTGATCTTTGTATGTTGTACCACGATGTTCGCGCCTATTACACTACTGACAAGGGATTTTTATATTGACTAATGCAGCTATTAAAAGCAAAAGCTACCTTTCTTATCTATATTCTAAGACCATTGCCCTCAATGTCTTTGTTCTTTCTACAGTGCAAAATTGTGGTTATGTGCCTTACCACACTTTCACACTTGTGTGAAAGTGCTAGGATTGGGGTTTGTATTTTCATTCTTTTATGCTTTCTAGAGTAAACCGTAGAGAGCATGAGCTTCATAGGTCTGTCCGCTGTTTTAGGAGAGGTTTAGCTTACGTAGACTGTTTTACGTGTGATGCTGAATGCAGATAACAGTATGGATGAAAATGGTATTGATGCAACAACACTAATAATCAAATAATATCGGTTCTTAGAAAGGAGCTGAGCTGCTGTGGAGTATGGGAGAGAGAAGGAAAAGGCATTGACCCGCTCGTTTGGTGGTGTCTGGTGTCCTCTTTCTAGTCAGTCCGTGTACCTGCTTGTACAGGTTTTTAGAAGCTGGAATTTTGAAATGTATGAAGGATACCTTTAACCATTTGTATCTTGCAGCAATTTTCTTTCTTATCTATGGATCAATCTTGTGTAGTTTCTTAGTAGGAAGAATTACAGTAGCTTTAAGTGTGATTTTAGCAAACGAACAGGGGGAAGGAGTGAAGCCCTCTCTTGCATATTAGGGTATCTTGAGGGGATTGCCAATTAGACTGAGAATAATGTTTGCCACCTCTGGGAATCGAGTTCCTGAAGTCACATGGGGGTGTGCGTGTTAGTGTTTTCAGACATCCTGTTTCCGTGTGAATGATCTGTGTATACGGGCTTGGGTAGAACATAATTTTTAGTAAACGTTTTGGAGATCTGATTTATAGGAGGAAAACCATCTGTTGCTAGGACAAATAAGGAGTGTATGTGGAAGTAATGTTTCAATTCAGACTGAAAACATTAGGAAGTCAGTGGTGGCAGATACCTCATCTCCTGTATAAGAGGAACCGTACTGGATTTTAACAGGCCACAGATGTGTGTTGTCCATTAAGCAGTTTTCTTAGCTTGTGATCCTTCTTTTAGTAGAGAAAGTTATATAATGTGTGGCAAGGACAGAAAGTTGAAATAATCTGACACAGATTCTGGCAAACCCATGGCATCTCATTAATTAAGACTTTGTAAATTTGAAGTGTGTGTTGCTTACTTTTTTGACGCCTATTTACAGTATAATGTTTACATTTGAAACCGTGTAAAGACTTTAAAGCATGTACAGAATAGATCTTCTGTGGCACGTGTTGTTTGCTGCTGTAAGAATATTGAAGGAACTATTTAATTTCTAATTGATAATGTGGATGTTCCTGAATTTATTTTCATTACAAATTCCTCTTGGAGTATTATAGGTGTGACATTTTAATAAAGTTTAGTATTTTTGTGGAAAAAATTGGCAAATATGAGAGCTTTGGTATTAGAGTAGTATGTTAGCATACGTCATGATGGTCATGTACTGCTGGCAGGAGTTTTAGAAACCTTACAATAATGACTCTTGTTTTTTTTTCTTGGCTACCGTTTCTTTTTCAGGTATGTAAAACTTCACTGAGTTTCTCTCCTTTTTTTCCCCCTGTAGTTGCATGTGATGTTTGTTAACTCTTTTTTTTCCTTTTCCTACCTGAACTTAGTTTGGAAATACTATTAGAAGTTACATGTTTCAGCATATAAGCAGCACTTTGCACAATAGTAAAATTCTAATAAATACATGTTAAGTTATTTGTGAGTATTAGAATAATTGCCATCCGGTAGAAAGTATGCTGCCTAGAGTAACAGATGATGGTAATGTTCTCTTGGATGTAGGTAATAGTGTATGAGTTCACTTAAATGTAACATATTTAGAATTTAAGAGTATTTGTTTATATGTAATTTTTCTCTCTTTTTATTACACTGCTTTCCCAGCAAGGACAAGTTTGGAAGGTTTGCAAAGCTTTTCACCTTCCCTTTGCCCGCTTGCCCGCTTTCAGAATCGGTCTCATATTCCATGACTTCTGTCTCTACGGTCCACAACTCAGTCATAGAAATCAATATGGAAAAGATTTCAAATGAGCTGTCATTCGAGTTCACTATGTTGCGTAGAAATGCCTAGCATGTAATTTAGTTTTGCATGAGACACGAAACTCCTTTGCAAATCCGTATGAGGACTATAAAGCTCAATGAATATTCGAGAGAAAATACAATTTGAGCACAAATTTTTTCACGTAAATCATGCTGCTTTTAGTATGTTTCTCCAAACTAAATGGTACAGCATGGCTTGCTAGTCAGAGTAGTTGAGGAGTAGTGTGTCTGACAGCATGCACTGTAGCTGGCAAAAGTAGGTGCTTCATCAGTGGTTTCTCCGCAGAAGCTGTTCTGATACGTCTGTGTAAGTTATTTAAGAGACTTAACACTTAGTCGTGACTTCTGTTCAGATTAAAATTTAATGAAGTTTCTTGATTGCTGCTTTTAAAGCACAGCCTATGCTACTGTGGGAGTAAAGAAAATGAGCAAAACTTGAGTTCTTAATCTAAGGAGATGGGATACTTTAGGCAAGTACTGGTGGTTTTATTGTGGGATGGAAAATTGTCTTGCAGTTAACAATTCAAAGAAAAATTTAATGCAGATTGATGGTGGGGCTATTAGTTTTGTTTCAAAAAGGGTAGTTCAATCATTTAATGTGCTCAGCACTGTCCTCCACAGATGATGACATGATTGAATTTTCTAACAGTTTATTAACTCCAGATGAATACAACACTACCTCAAACCAGGAATAGCATTAAAAGGAAGCATTTTTTTCCTCCTTCTTTTAGGATTGAGTTTTTTCCCTCACTGCTGTTCTGCACTAACTGCTTTGATACTTCCATGCATCTTTTTCAGTAGAAGAGCATCTTTGTACTGTTTCCCATTGCATATTTCAGCTGTGACAGTCCCTGCACTTTGCCTTTCATTTTATCACCTGCTCACTAAAAACAAACAAACAAAAAAAGAAAAAGAATCTTTCTAGTTTGTCTTCAGATTTGCAACTATCGCTTAACTTTAGGTGGATGATTGTGTTTTTACTTCATTTTTTTATTGTATTTTTTTATAGGCATGCGGTGACCCCAAAGCCAAACCATCCTATCTTATTGACAAAAACCTGGAATCAGCTGTCAAATTCATAGTCAGGAAGTTTCCAGCAGTAGAAACACGCAACAACAATGTAAGTAACTAAATGACTGTATAAGTATGTTTCTCAATACGCTTCAGCACTGGCTGCTCAAATCTGTGAAGTTTTATGTGTTCTTATAAAGTACCTGATGCTGACAGTTGCAGTTGGAATAGAGTTGTTGATCCAAACGTCTGATAGGATACTTTAGAAAGAACTGACTCCAAGGAGAGAATATTATACTGTAATTCTGGATTGGTTTTGTTAGGGCAGGACACTTTCTACTGTTCTTTTTGCCTGCTCTCTTCTGTTCCATTTCAAAGAATCACCAATGGGAAGTAATCCTCAAAAAAATCATGCCTTACTTTGATAGCAGAAAATCTTGGTGACCAGATAGGTTGCAGAAGGTGAAAGTTACGTAGCTTTATTTGTGATGAAACCTGACCAGCAGATCAATAAAGGGCACCTGACAGCAAAGTGGGAAAATATGTTTGTACTTTACAGGTGCTTGTACCTTACAGGTGCCTTTGCCTATGGGTTCAGTCTCTGTGGGAATAAAGAATGCTTTGGTATGTAAGGAGAAACCCTGTGAAGTACAAAAATACAGAAATATCATTGTTTTCAGATGTATTAAGTTTAGTTGCAGTAGGAAATTATTTTTCACCCTTCTGAGAGATCCAGTATTGCTGAATTTGATTTTGTATCCTTTTAGAGATAACTAAGATTGTTAGATTACAGGTAGGCTTTTTGGCAGGTGATGTACGCTTGTTTCTCTGTTTCAATTTGAAAGGCAAGGGAAAGATTTTTGGTTTACCTGCTTATATTTCTTTCTAAAGGTGAAAAGTGGAGGTAGGTGTTGGGGTTGCATGTTCCTGCATGCAACTACTTGCATGTGTGCTTGAGAGGTTTAGGCTTGCTTTAAGAATTGAGGTTTCTGCAGGATGATAGTGGCAATAGCAGTGGGAATGATTAGTTTCTTTTACAGTGCTGTCTAGAATTTCTATGTAATGTCTCCAGTTAATGGCAATGAAAAAGAAAAAAAAATCAAACTTTCCCTTATGGAGGAAACTATTTCAGCAGTGGTGCTTTCTCACTTTAAAATTTGTGCATGTTTTGTACTGTTTAATGTTGCTCATCTTTGTATTGAATTTGATTGTGTTAGCAAGAAATATGGTAAATTCTTTATCAAAGTTATGTAAAAACAGTAAATCCTTTAAACCATCTTTTGTCAGCGCTTCTGTATTCTCTAAACTTCAGTGGCAGATCTACTATTAAAAGTAACAGATTATGTACGTAGAAGTTGTTTAATGCAGTTGCATGTTTGCTCTATATGTCTTCTGGTGGTTGACTATGAATTTAGACCTTAGCTAATGATAGATATTTAAGGATTTGGTACTGTGAAGTTTATGGAAAGAGATCAAAGCTAACTTGATATATTTTGACAATCACAGTTTCTAAAATAGGACACGCTCATAATGTTTTGTCATTGCCTTGTGTTTATTTACCCTGAGCCAGCCAGGCCTGTGTTTATTAAGCACAGTTATCAGAAGCCTACCCTCTTTATGTATGAGCACAGATTAAAGTAGGGATTTTGAGTTCTAGCCATAGGCAGCTGGGGTTTCCCTTCCTGAGGTCAGAGCTGACAGCAGTTTGCTTGTCTTAGTTATTTACAGATGTTTTCCTGTAGTGTGGTGTATCTCCCAAAAGAAATCTTTACCCTTACCAGATACCTAATGAGACAAAAGCCATGTCACGTGCAAGGAAGGTTCTCATTTGATGTAAGATAAATTTTTGTTTGTAAACCTTAGCTTCAAAAAGGCACAAGCATGTAGCTCCTGGTCAGGAAGATGTTCTCCTCCTTGCTCTTCCTTTGTTTCCCTCCTTTTACTGGCCAACGACCAGCTCACCATGTATCAGGAGGGCACACAAGTGAGTTTCTTCAGTAGGGAAATGGGTGATCAGACATTTAAAAGGACAAGAAGCTTACTGGAACAAGGAAACATCAATTAATGAAATATTACAAAGGATTATTGTAAGGGAAATAGTTGAGAAATCATAACTTCTGCATCGTCCTTGCAGTGAGAATTCCAGGACATCCTTTCAGGGAGGCGTTTGGGATTTTGAATGTTCAATTGCAGCAGTTGCCATAGCTTAGCGTCGTGCATTTATAGAATTAGTAATACATATTGACATGTTAGTAGGTGATGTTGCTAAACAAGCTTGCATTCAGAGAGAGAAGCAATGGTGCCTGCTTTTTGGATTTTTTGACCTATTCTTAGCTGCTAGTTTGGTTTTTGGTGTGCCATCATTTACAGTGTTTCGCATCTCAGAGGTGAACATCATATTTTATTGAAGAATATGAGCAGTCTCTGTTGTAATCAGATAGGTGCCTGATCTTGAAGAGCCTGCATTTTTAGTCTTTTGAAACAAGTGATTCTGTTAGGTTTGCTATTGATTGCTTTTACATCTTTATTCACAAAAAATACAGCTCCTGTTTTTCCTCCTCCAGTGTTTGACGTGCTGAGTCAGACTAGAGCTATGCCTGTCAATCACTGATTTTCAATATTGTAGCAAGAGTGAAAGTTTATGACCAGTTCAAACAAAAATTAAATACACAATGAATCCTTGCTGACCAGGCTGAAAAATAAAATTGAGTAGTTCATCTTTATATCATTATAGATAACTCTGGACCTCATCCATTCATAACTGTCTCTCTCCTGTCATCCAAGGGCAGTCCTTGTGATCTCTTACACTTTCCCTTTCTTCTCCAATCACCATCATGAGCCATATAACCTTGAGAATGTGCAGTGTGAAGACTGTGCTCTTAAATCAACTGTAATGATGTTGGCCAGCAATGTACTGCTTAATAGTGTGTGAAACACCTGCAAAGGAGGCAGTGTTTATAAACAAAAAAAATTGAAGGATTGACATAGTGAGAGACAGACATTTTAAAGACCTATTGGAAAGGGAAACTATATAAAAAGTATCCATTTTCTGTGTTTGGGAAACCTTAGTATTTACATTTATTTTAAATTGACTAAAGCTTTGCTTTGAAAAAGCCTTCTAAATTGGAGAAGCCTTCCAAAAATGCTTTATAGCACTATTGTTCTTGGTCAGATCAGTGATCTGATTGTGCTAGTATGGACTCAGGGTAACATTTATTTTTACTGAATTTCCTTGACTAGCTTCAGAAGAAAAGTTTCAAAGTAAGAGATGCAGAAGCAGCCTGATTTTTCTGAAGGCTTTTTAGACCTCATCTTCTTATAAGGTGCGCAGGCAAGGTTCTCACCACAGGGAAATCAGAAAAGAATATACCAAGCTCCAAAATAAATGTATTAGGACCTAAAAATTTTTCTCAGTCAATGCTAACATTTAAAGTAATTGTAAAACCAGAATAAAGTACTTCATGGTGGGGAACTGGAAATGCAGGGAGAAAAGATGTAGATTTTCTGTAGATTGTGGGTGGGGTCTGAAAAATCTGCTGGCTGCACAGGTAAAGCTCTGTGTCTTTGTGCGATGGAGTTAGCCTTCTTTCTGCTTTCCAAAGCACCACATATGGGAAGTAGTGAGAATATCTGCCTTCTTTTTGAACATATGTTTTCCTTTTACTCAGATTGCTCCTCAGCAATTTTCCTATAGAAAACCTTCCTATATTTTTAAATGTCTACTAGAGAAGTTGAGGCTTAGTCATGGCTTAGTGGTAAGCAGACCAGTGAAACATTACCTGGAAGTCTGTAAGTGTATGGTTAGTGGGAGAAAGGTCCGTGTTTCCCACATACTGCGAAGCTGCTCGCTAGCTATCTTCCCAGTACCGTTTGTATTGATTCCATTGTGTTTTGTACTGACTACATGTTCATTTTCTTAGGAGATAGTATTTTGGGGAGTTGTTTACCTGATTTAATTGTAATAATTTTCTGCTGTATTATCTCAGCAGGGACTGGAACTAAGATCATATGAGAGTAGAGTACAAGCAGTGCTAACGTTTCCAGCCTGCCTGGGTTAGGATCTGTAGATAAGAATTAGTTCACTTTAAATTTTATTTACTTTTTTTTTCATGGGTGCGTTGGCTTTTTCCTTTTAGATCCCAGTATGGTGTCTGGTCTGCTTACTGTGTCTTTCACAGTTTCATTTTATAGTGAGCTGGTTGCATAGCGAGCTAGCTGGATGTGGGAGAGGTGTTGTGGGCACAGCGTGGCTGGACCTCCTTGGCTAAAGCTTATTAGAAGACTTTAATGCATGCTTTTATGGAATGCTTTCTTCTATAATAAAATTACTGAAATATGGACTTTATAACCAATCTTGATTTTTAATTTGTGATAGGTGCTTCCAATAATTAGACTTTTTCAAAACACTTAAGTAAATGCAAAGAAACATTTGCTTTTTTAAGTACTCCTTTCAGCCCCTGCAAGGGGTACGGTGTGAAAAGGGAAGTGTCACTTGTTTGTTTATTTGTTTCTAATGAAGCGTTTAATATTATAATTTGCACAGTGCTAGTGAAGATAACTTAAAAATTCTCTTCTGAGGAAAAATCAGGGTCTCAGCCATGCTGCCTCATGTACTGGTGATTCTTTTTCTCTAAAAAACTTTTGAGGAAACAAGAGGGTAATTAATACATATAGTAGCCAATTTCTTAAGACTAACTTCATCAAATAAACTTAAATCCCCAAACTCAGTTAGCTTCAATATTTTTCCCCAGCTTTCTGGAGTTTTAGGTCTCCTGTCTGGGAGACTTGATTTTTCAGACACCTTACTGCTTACTTAAGCAATAAAAAACTATGTTCTACCACAAAACTAACTGGGTTCCTGGCCATGAAGACTAAAAATCTTTTCCAGGTAAGAGGATGCTGTGCTTCCGTTGCACAGCTGCCTGTTCGACTCCGCTCACTACTGCTCGAGGAACTTACGGTGCTGAAGGGGCTGCAAATGAGAGTGGTTTTCCAAAACTCACCAGGGCAGTAGTTTAATTTACAGATCCACCTGCATGAGTAAAACCAGCTGATGAGTAACTAGTGTCTCTTAGCTTTGTACAAGCAGTTGGGATTTCTTATGCTCGA